TTTCGTGCTTTACTCCCACCTCTAGGGGTTGAGATTAATCCTAACGTTGAGGGGGCATGGAGAATTCGTGCGCGACCGCCTGTTCCAGCTGCCCGGCGGCCAGGTAGATCTGCAAAGGGAAAGGTTTGCAATTTGAAATCGAGGTTCGGATTCTGAACTCTGGCTTTCGGGTTCCATTTTGAGGTGTTTTAAACTATTGGATTAGGGAGGTCATCTGGAGAGTTGCTAGGCTAATCTGCAGAAAGAACCTTGCGCATAGGGGATCGTGCGCGACCGCCTGCTCCGGTCCGCGGCAGCCGGCGTAAATGTGCGCTGCGCTAGTTAGATCTGGGGGTGACAAGTGGGACGTAGAACCCAGGAATCGAGGGTTTTGAGCGGTTTTTGTAGTCCACCACGTTGCAGAATCATATAAGGCCGTTCCTTCAATTCTGCTGACCCGCACAACTTCCAAGCTACAGTATTTGGAAAATTACTTCGAAGCAGCAGGTCATCCGCGTCGGCCTGCAGAGCTACAGTAGCTACGCACTGGCAGCGCCCATCATCAACCACTTTCGAAGGAGTCACTACGTACCGAGGTTTCGAATCTGCATAGTTTTCCCAGTCTTAAAACATGTCCGCTTCGGCCCTGACAGCGCCTATTACGCATGCATTTGCGCAGCCCTTTTGTCGTGAGTTCTGGGTCTGCCTCACCTGACTCTGGAGCACGTTCGCCTCGGCCGACGCGGCCTCGAGCCGCAGCGCGGCCGCGACCGCGCGCTGCGCGCCCTCGAAGTCCGCATCCACGTACTTGGCACGTCCGAGCAGAAGTTGGACGTCCGGCAACCCGGGGGCCGCCTTGTACAGCACGTCCAAAACCTGAGAAGAGCAGCCGTGTTACGAGACACGTCAGCGGTGTCGTCATAACGGGCCAACAAGGATCAATCATTAGGAGCTGTGGTTAAGTCTTCATACCTATATAAACACCTCTGGATGTAGTTTGTTGTGGTCAGGGTGAGATAAAGGGAATGGATTGTCCCCCCGACCCATCTTGAGGTCGACATTTCAAGGGAATCCAAAACGCTTCATTCTGCGACACCTCTGCAATTACTTCCTCATCTCCTGAATGACCATTCGGATCCTTTCCACTGTCTCCTGATATCTGGCAATTTATTCACAATGGAAAGCCAACTATACAATAACACAGACAAAAACGGGACCCAGCGAAGCCAATAGCCCCCAAGTCGACGACCCTTCTTCGTATCATCGTTCGAAGGATACGCGACCGCAGATTGAAGCACAGAACCTCCGCGCTTACCTTGACCGCGTTTCCCACGTGTGGGCTCGCCGGCTCCGCCGGGCCCCGGGGTTCCGTTCCGGCCTGCGCCAGAAACTCCCGGGCGGCGTCCAGCAGCCGATCCGGCTCTAACGCGGCGTAAAAGCCTAACCCCGGTCTTAACCTCCGCAAAGCCCGGAGGTGCGCCTCGACTGCTTGTTCGAGAAGCGCGCACGCGCGCGCGCTGTCGCGGTCTTTCAGGCGGGCGATAGCGGCGGAGAGGAAAAGGAGTGGTGGGGAAGGGTCGGCGGAGGTGGACATCTCGCTGAGGAACTCGAGGTGGGAGGCGGCCTCTTGGAGCTGGCCCAGAGCGATCTGCGGGTCAGAAAATTTGGTTCGAAGGGTCAATATAAGCGTTTAAGAAGAGAACAAGGAGATCCAGCTTGGATCTCATGCAGGCTCCGAGACAGGCGGCTTGCTGGAGCTGGCCTAGCGCATTTAGCGGCTAACGACAGAAGCCAAAGGAAGGTTCCAAAGACGGTGAATAGGGTTGGGACATGCTACGACGAAGTACTCGAAGCAGAGTCAGCTTGTACTAGAGAAGCTTCCAGACGTGGAAGACAGGAACCAAGTAAGTCTTCGGCCCTCACCTGGCAGAAGAGCGAGCCGTAAACCGCGTCCATGTTCATCTCGTCCAGCTGCGACGCGCGCCGATACGTCCTCAGCGCCTCGGCCGCGTTTCCCGATAGCAGCTGCTGGTACCCGCACTCCGCGATGTACCGGGCATCCCCCGGGGCAAGTTTGCACGCTCGGTCGACTAGCGTTAGGGTTTTCTGGATGACGGCGGGTGCCGATTTGCCCGCCAACCGGGCAAGAGGCTGGGCGGATTCGAAGTAGACGGCCGCGTTGCGGGGCTCGGTGCGGTCGATGCTGTCGAGCAGGTCGGTCTGCGGGGAAAAGGGACGACTGGTGTTCCTATGACAAGTGTAACGTCATGCTTTCGGAGCTAGTGCAGACACGAAAGAACTTTGTTTGGCTGACGACTTCGGCAACGTCGTGTCTTATCGCAGCTGGATGAAGTCACGAGGTAAACGATCGTCAGCATCGAACAGAGTCGAAGAGCGTTCGACCTTCGGAAGTTTGTACGAAAAGACGCCCTTGAGGAGTGCTACAATGTGCGCCCAGCTAGATATTCGTGTGCGGCACCGTGTACTGCATAGCAAGAAAGTGCGCCCTCGTAAAACTTTGCCTGGGGATCCAGGCCGACCAGAATTGGTGACGGCGTTCCTTCGGCCAGCGTAACACTTACTTCATTGGTCGGTATATACTTTGATTAAAAGTCTTTTTGCGTCAAAACTGGCGTGACAGGCTGCGCCTCCTTTCTGAATGGTTTCAACCCAGTCGGGTAGACGGAAGACTTTCTCGAGAGCTCTGAACGCGTTCCTACTCGCGCGCACTCACCAGGTGTCTGAGCGCAATCTGCGGCCGGCTCTCCTGGCTCAGCAGGTAGAGCGCCGAGAGGCGCAGAGCGTCGATGTTGGCGGGATCGACGGTCAGGATGCGCTGCGCGACCTCCATAGCCTGCTCCCAGTCACCAACGGCCACCAGCAGCTTTGCTTTCTCGGTCAGTCCGGGGATGAACCAGGAGTGAGCCACGATGACCTGAAACAGCGGATAGAGGGGTTTAACCAACCGTCTGCGCAAATGCTCCTCGTTGGGTTAGAGGCGGTCAGCACGAGGACAAACCAGAAGTAGTAAGCCACGATGATTCTGGAGGCGACGCATGAGGTGTGGGTTGTACAAACTTGTCTCGTTAAATCAACTGTCGGTTAGAGATCCACACTCTTGTTCCTTCAGTCATCCTAAGAGCGTTCCAGGAGCAGCAACTGATGACCTAGCAGAAAGGGGCGGAATCAAACCTGGAAGGTATGACAGTTTGAACAAGTGAAGCCGCACTTGATGCACGAAGAACAAGCGGCTATTGAAAACTTGAGAGCGTCAGCAGCTTTTGATGCTCTGAAAGATAGTGTGACTGCTGTTTGTGAACGCTCGTTAAATCCGACAGCACTTAGGCTAGCGCAGAAAAGCTCTATGAGAACGTGGGTTGTGAGGAGGCCGTAGCATAAAAGAACCGACACAAGGAATGAGATTTGTGAGAGAGGGGCCTCACTAGTAACTCGCTTTGCTCATCAGTTTCCAGGAAGCATAGTAACTGAAGAAAGGTCTCCAGCATCAGATAGACTGGAACGTAGACATGAAGACACAAAGTGAGGACGCTTGGGCAGTGTGATCCAGTTCAAGGGCGAAGCAAATTCTCGCCATGACTTCCTTGAGTATTGCAGTGCACAACAGACTCCCAGTCACAGCCCATAGCTGGGCCAGAAGTTCCATGCCAATGCAGACATTCCAGGGCCAGTGCTAGTGGGACATTGGACATGTGGCCGCACCCATCCTTACCTGGTTGATGTGCTCCAGCGCCCTGTTGTACTCCTTCTTAACCTCCCAGCACTTGACCTGCCCCAGCATCGCTTCCAGGTCCCTCTCATTTCCCCCCAACACCTCCTCAAAGAACGCCAAGGCCTTATCTGCCCCGCTGCTCCTCCCCCCATAGCTCCCCCTTCTGCCGCCCCCTTTGTCTGCTGATGACAACTCGATCCACGCCTTGAGACACCTGGCTTCCGAATTCTGAGGTTGAGATCTGAGAACCTGGTCCAGACAGCTGTTTGCTTTTTTGAGATTCTCTGCGGGGCCGAGGTGAAAATGAAAGAGTGCCGCCTGCAGAAAAGCGGGCTCCCCGGCGCTGCGCTCCGCCACGCCTAGTTGTTGTTTCAAAGCGGAGACGGCCTCTTCGTCGATTAGACTGCTGTGGGAGTGCGCATGAAGTGATGCGGCGATGGCAGCTAGCTCCACATCTCTCTGGCCCTGGACAGCAGACACCCAACAGTTGTCAGGACAATTTGTAACAGGCATCTTTTGAGTTTTATCAAAGGGATTGGGTCAATTGTAGTCCTCACCTCAACATTTGGCCTTACATTTGAAAGATTATGTGCCACTCTTAGCATTCTTCTTTGATATCATTGCATTCGCCTGCAGGCTTTCTCCCAGATGACTGACAATATAAGCACGAAACCAAGTACTTTGGTCTCATACTAGGATAAGCTCAATCAGCTGTCAACTGCCAAAAGGATTCAGTAAGAAGTGCCGGGCCAGACGTTTAGCCATGCCAAGGAGGTAAAAACCCGTATTGACTGCTTCAAGGCTTTAGCACCATCCCTTGACCTTTTAAGGCAGTGGTGCAGCTAGTGCACCTTATTCGAGCAGCTTCCTAGGGGCTATATATTTGATAAGCAAGACTATGAGTTGTATGACCACCCTACTTACCTGCAGGGGCTCGAGCTCACGCAATGCCTCTGAGAAGCTGCCCTCCTGCAGGGTGCCAAACGCTCTCCAGAAGAGGAGCACAGAATCGCCGGATCGCTTCCGCAAGGCCTCTGTACATGCTCCCTGAATGTGCCTCCAGTAACCCTCTCGTGCAAGGTAATTGACCAGCGCTTGCGATTCCATCCTGCCAGCATCTCTTGGGCTAGAACCGAGCCTCTTCAAACGCTGCAAAGCAGCTTCAAGGACGTCGCAATCCCTGAAGCTGATGACACAAGATGGTGCTTCCCCATTCAGTACTTCTCTAAATACTAGCTAGCAAAGTAGTCTTTCAAGCTGGATTCTCGCTCAATTTCGCCACACAATTTCCGCCTTCCCAACTTGCCAAGCTTCGGAGTTCGACTCTGAGCCTGAGGAATTGCCAAACCCTAATCCGGCAGTTCCGACAAGCGCGGAACGTTCGACCGGCGCAGGAATTCCGCCCAAACTCAGAACCAGCTAACCTCGACCCGCCGCGCACTGCGGCCGCGCAGCTTCCGCTCCGAACGGTCAGTGCGTACCGCGGACTGCGCATGTCAGCATGTTCAACGACTCTGGATGATCCAATGATCGGCGTGTCGGAACATTCTTCAAGAGCTATACTGGCCATGTCCGTCTGCTGGGCTTAGGTATTTGTGGACAATTCTTCAAGCCTGCCGGAGCAGCGTGAGAGCAGCGTCTCCAACCTGGCACAGGAAGCTGCTTGAACAGCTTGCCTTTGTCCAAATGTGGTCCAAATCTGCCTGGCCCGCGTCCTTGCGTGCTAAATTTGGTCTATTCTGTGGGGCACGTCCGCATTTAACATGTCCTCAGAAATGCACGCGCGCAAGGACGAGGCAGGTCATTCATGATCCACCGCCCCCGGCCCTTCAACTCGCAATGATGAGGCGCAGCGGGCGCGCAGCAACTTTGCCGGGCATTTAGGGACGAGCGGTACGAAATGGACGAGGTTGCAAACGCAGTGTACGATGATGGCCTCTCAGCGGGGTATGCCGCCTTCCCGTAAAAGTCCAGGAATGCCCGCTACAGGCCGTTCCTCGCACCTGGAAGGATGCCCCGGAATTGCAGGAATACCTAGATCGCCGGGAACGCTTCGAAAAGGCGTACATCTGAAGAGGGTCCAGAACTCGCCTTTCAGGTAATCTCGAGGCAACGCGTTCTTGGACCTTAAGATATATATACGAACATCTGCCGCAGTACGGGTTCAAGGTGGATCCCTGATCAAGCCTTGAGTCAAAGGGTCACTCGGACGTCAACTCGTCAGAGTCTATACCCGTGCCGTAGACGTTAACGAGGCTTGTAATCTTCTGGATCTTCACTCAAATGTAGTAACGAAGGCATTCAACACTGCAAAACCAAGTAGTACACACTCCTGCCTTTGCTTGGAGTGCCGTGAATGTCCTGCACTTTCGGTCCGATTCAAAGATCTGCATATTCCAGGTCTTGCATGGAGATTCAGGATGCCATGATGTTGGAAGTTTGCACTTGACCCCGCTCGAAGAAGCGTAGAACCTTTGCCGAATACTAGCTGCGTCCAATCTATCCTGCCTGTTCAATTTTCGGCAGCTATGAATACGGGGCAAAGGATTTTGAACGGCCCGGAACATGCTGCATATGTGCCAATACGTCGCAATTGCTTGAGTGCCTTTTGAGTCTGCGGAAGGGCATGCAACATTCCTTCCGAGATCGCCATCTTACTATACTTGCTGCACTTCTTACTGGGGATATGTTCACGCACTGCAGCCCCAGGCTAGCTGATTTCATAGGACAACATATGAACAGGTCGTCATCCGGCCCAATCCTTGCGCTATCTACAACGAGCTGGCGCGCACAAAAAGCATGTGCTGCCATGTGCCTAATCTCAATGATTCATGCACGCACGCGCCATGCTTAATTATGTGGTTGCGTGAGCTGATCGACGCTAGCTCTGCACAATCGTCCCATGGCTTGAAGCCGGGATCACGCATGACAAACAAGTGATAAAGCAGTTATGTAAGAAAACTTGCCCACTCGATGTACCAACAAAGACTTACGGTATTTTGCCGGTATCAGATTGGAGCTCTTTTCCCTTATCGCGGGACTGGCATCATATGATTGCACGAAGCATCACTGGATACGACGGCCGACCCACAGCACACATGTGTCGCCTCAGCCGGCTGCCCATGAGTTCGCATCCAGGAAGCGATTTAAAACAAGTACTAATTGCGGTTTGGCATAACGAGGAGGTTTACAGTATACATGTAAGTTTGGATTTTATAGGCTATGCTTGTTCAAAATTTACCCGCTCAATAAGAAATCAATGGGAGGAGTAAAGTTGTTTTCCTTCTGATCCGGGCTTCCACTCAGTGTACTTTGAATCCCTATTACGCGCGGCTTCATGAACCAATCGGTAACTCATTTCGCGGGGCATTGAGTACAAGCCTTGCAACACTGCAGTTAGGTGCTCACAATGGTTGTCACGATGGACAACCAGATTCGAGTACTCACGAAGAACCAGAAATTTCATAGTAAGTTCATACTAACCTTCCTCACACATTAATGCAATACTAGAAAAGTGGCCAATCCATTCACGATAACCAATCGTTACACTGCCTTCTTGAAACTGTCAAGAATCGTCTCGCTAACTTGTCATTCCAATGAACTCAACTCAAGGAGCCTAAAAGACAAGCCCCTACGTCAAAACCGATTATGAATCGCCCTACTGTACAAGAGGGAAAATCGACTTTACAAAGAAAGATTGCTGCCCTAGTCGACCAACTGCTGCACAGTGTCTGAGAATGGGAAGGGGAACGGCAACAACACGAGCAGGCCAAACACGAGCGCCGCTATTCCGAGGGCTTTCCTAGCGTTGTCTGGCTCGCTTATCTCGTCCGAGTGGGGCGGAACGGGCCCTCGTTGGAGGAACGCGGTCAACACGACGAAGTACAAAGAAAGGTCGTTGAAAATTCCCGCAATGCCGAGGAGAAGGTACGAGACGAGACTGAACGTGCCCCAAAGCTGCAGAATGTGAAAAGCGGACAGGGTTCAAACCTCGTCTTTTACCGCGCTGAGCACGTCAGCATTACGATAACCGAGGAGGTTATAGAGCTCCGCAAAGATGAAGACGGGTACTCAAATGCTACGGACGTGCTGCTGAGCGACTTCAACAAATGTGGCGATAATGCTTGTACTTTGTTGTGTTAAGCGCGTCAGGAGCGCTACCTCGAAACCTGGCTCCTCGGTGAAGGTGCTGAGACGAACCGCGCTTGATGCGAAAACTGCATCGCCTATCTGGAGATTCGACTCAGGGAGCAAGCAATTGAAGGAAGCAGACAATCTAAGCAGGAGCGCTTTGTCACAGGACTTGCTGTACGGAAAAGGCAAAAGGACAAAAAGAAAGGAATAGGGAATACAGTGACGGCAAAAACTAAATAAGGACGAAGAACGGGCCCACCTTCCGTCCAAAGAGGCCGAGCGCCAGCCGGCCGCCGTCGAGCTCCCCGACGGGAATAAGTTGCAGGGCGTTGACCGTGAGCGCCGACCACGCCGCGAGCGCGACCGGGTTCATCGCAATTGGCTTGCCCTCCTGGAGCGCATCTCCGAGGAGCAGCTTGGCTGCAAAATTTAGAGGAGAAGACATATGTTACTGATCCGCGAAATATCCGTAGTTCCCCAGAATCGGACCTGATCGAATCACAAGCTCACGGACCACCCAGGTCAGGAACGAACTGCAAATCAGCATGATTGGCTTGCCCTCCTGGAGCGCATCTCCGAGGAGCAGCTTGGCTGCGAGAAGAAGCGTAAATATGGGTGACTACAAGCTTGCATAAGACTTGAGGCGTACGGGAACCTTCACCCGGAGCGGACCGGACGAGCTACGAGATGATGAAGTTCTTAGGTCAGGAGCGAAGATGGGGCAAAGCCGCGCATGTTAGAGCTTCAAGTTCTCGGTGCTCTACGGTACCGTTCAGGAAGAGAGGAAAGATGCTTTCTTCAGATCCAGGGAAGCTAGCTCTAGAAAGAAGCAGATGTGAAAGGCCGCGAAGAAATTTACGAATTTGAGTAAGCGATGAACTTCAGACTTCAGAGGTCAGTCGCTTGGAGCCAGTCAGTGCACGATAAACGAGAAATACCCCGCAAAGGAATCAGATAGCAGATCGCGAAAACAAACGTCCTCACCTAGACCCCCGGCCAAGAACGAGTCGTGGAACACCGACGCATCCACCACGGTCGCTACCCCTCCGGGAGGTGGCAGTGTAAACCCGGCTAACAATAACCCTAACCCAACCACCGCCCCGAGCGCTGGTCCCGCTGCCGCAATCTCGATCAGAACCGACCGTTTTGGGAGGATGCTTTTGATCTGGGTGATCGCACCGAAAGTGCCCAGCTGGAGGCCCGGGATGAAGAACGGCACCCCCAGCTTGACACCGTGCCGTCTTGCGGCGATCTGGTGCCCGAGTTCGTGGGCTGCGAGGACGCCGAGAAGGGCCACGGAACTTGGCCAGGTGTCAAAGATGGCCTTGAGGATGGGGGTGGCCATTTGGTCGAGCGGGAGGCTGCAAGGAAGGATGGGATACACTACGGATCTTTGGAAAACACTTGATTCACGATGTGTTGACGAGAAGCAGCAAACTGGGAAGGATAAGGGAGATAGTGTAAAGTCGGAAGGACAAGAGAGAATGCGAAACTGGAAGGACAAGGGAAAATACAAAGTCGATAGGCAGGTGCTTGAACGAGACGTTCGTTCTTCAGCAGTTGACAAGATTAAGCATCTAAGTAGCATGGCTGCACTTCAGAGGGGAGGTGTGGTAGGGCGAAAAAAGCTCTCAGAAGCGATATTTGTTTGACGTGGCTGTCGAAAGTGGCCCAAGAACCGGGCTTTCCTGCCTACACAGCGGTTCTCTATGTACTCACCCTTCTTCGAAGATGACCCCGTTGCGGATGAAGATAGTCGCTATGGTCGACGTGGCGAAGATAGCGGCGGATAGAAGTTCGGGCACGGCTGCAGAAAAACACAGAGCCCATGAAAGCCCGGCAGGCGGCTCGGAAAGCATTCCGGCGCTCGGTTGTGACGTCTGCCGTGTGTAAAATTTGATGGTTGGATACGGCCAACTTACGAGGAAACTCCTAGCTTGTCAGCGACTTCGCGTGCATGTGAATACCAGCGGATGGGGAATAAAACGGCGGAGTCCATGAGCCTTGCTGGCTCTCGAATAAATACTGGCGATGGGTGCCCCCCTCCCGATACCAGCAGATTGTCAATGAGGGGAAGTTTGGTCGCTCAAGAAGAAACTCAGGATGGAATATGGTCCGTCGGATAAACATCTTCCTGATACGCAGATAAACAAGGGTATCTTAAGGCGGCTCCCTGGACGTGAATCAATGCTGAATGTCCATGTTATGGATGCCCGCACGAGTAGGAAAGAGCGAGTAGCGGAGCGCGAAGCCTTACGAGCTTGGCGAGGCGTGATGGCCGCCTTCGGGATGACGACAGCAGACGGGTTGTCGTCCTCCGGGTTTCTAAGCAGGAAAAACTCGTACTCGTCTCCGTACTTGTCAGTCAACCGCTTCCCGATCTTGGCATGAGCTTTTGCGGCGTCCCCGCCACGCAGGTTGCCCTTGAAGAGCACGCCTCCCTGCGGATATATTTTGAGAGACTCAAGCAGGGGGACGGTGGCATGGAATCGTGATTGATATTTCAGGGAATCTTGTTTTGCAATACCAGACTGTTGCTGGTATTGCCAGCACATAAGGGGGCAGAACGGGTGCAAGGTAAGGGAACCTCGATAATAAGGTTGTGAGCGAGGAAGAGATACGAACGCCCTTAATCAGAGTCGTATTAAGGCTGACCACTTGCACTTTCTCAGTGACACCAGCATCAAAGATTATCGGTTCTGTTGTTGCGCTCGCATGTCGCAACTTGAAACTGACGGATTGTCGAGCAATCTCGATCTTGCTTGATTCGGCAGTGCTGATCGCAAAAACCAATTCTGTTAGAATGAATGTTGTAGGCTCTTCCATGTGAGAGGTTTACAATCGAGGCAGAGCACAGCGACTTGAAGCATCAAGAGAGCAATGAATGCCCGTTGAAGCGAAACCTGACATCCTCGAACTTGAGAGCGGATCAAGCAGCTTCTAAAGTCTCCTCACTTCGTCATGTCAGATGAATGTAATCTATTGCTCTGACACCTCTCAAAGAGACTTGACACCAGAACCTCACCTGAGGAAACGGTTCCTGGCCGGTCACGAAGAAGGTGTCAAACCCAAAGACCTGCGTCTTCAGGACTTCTATGACGGCCTTTGGCAACGGCAGCGGGATGAAATCGGGGACTTTGGGGGGCTGGTCCTCTGGCGGCTTTGCAGAGCCGTCCTCTGAACTTGTTTGCTCTTCCTCTTTCTGGACAGAAAAAATCTTTGTCGTCAGGACTTGGACACAAATGGAGCATGTGCATTGACCTGAAACCGAGGGGGCTGTCAGTTGTCAGGCTCATAGAAAGGTCAGCCAGCTCGTTGTTCTACAGCACTTCGTGCAGGCTGATCAGATTCATGCGAAGGTGGATACAGATTACTTCGAACATGTTAAAGGTGGCGCAACAGAGAGCGCCAATCATTTTTCGCAAGCTACTTGACTTTCCCACTATTCAAAGACGTCAGGCTTATAGGGGGTGATTTGAATCCCCTTCGCAAGCTGCTTGACTCTTCGGCAATGGATAGACGCCAGGCTTTTAGAGGGGCAATCAGCAGAACTCATCGATACCCCGACCAAACTTCTCACAAAAGCTAAGCAGCCATTTGGACCGAGTGGACCAGACACCAGAGCTCAGGCAGACAGCATTTAGTGTTTGCAGTGCCTTCTCAAAGGAACTCATACTTGTACTCCTGATTTCGAAGGGGCGTCTTTTGAGTCGCACCTTCCTCTCCTCCACCTTTGTTTCAACGGAGCCGCCTTCCTTGCCCTTCCCTTCCTCCTCTGCTCTGCAGACCCCCGCCCCATGCCGTTTGTTACTCCCTAGAGTTGGTCGGTGGGGTAGGTACGGAATCCTGCAATTCAACCAATAACAATCAAGTGTTGATCTATACCAGATCTGCTTGAGATATGTCAGGTCCTGATTGAAACAAACAATCTTTGTCATATTTTTGCTGCCAACTGGTTGCTTTCTGCTGATGCTCAAAAAGAGGGGCATTGGACTCGTCACACTTTCTTCACACGAGCAGTGTCCAAGCACACTTTACTACGACCCAAGCTCCGATCAGCTTTTCTCAGTGGGTGCTAAGCATCTAAAACCAATGAGCATTCACACGTGAATGTCAGCATTGCAGCTACTGAAGGTGAGGAAGTCACATACAGGATTACTGAGCGATTGGCGAGTAAGGCCATTGATCGGAAGTTAGAGACATGGTCTGGTGATCCTACTTGAGATGGTGGCACTTAAACGCCTTCTCTAAGTCACCAAGTGCAAATGTCGGCTTGTGCTTTGAGACTCCGCTACGTAAGCAGGTTAAGGATATCAACATGCCCACAGTAACTTTTCAACTGCATACATACACCATGCCTCGGAAGCTGTGACTCCAATACCCAGACTCTTTAGATTGCTCTGAAAAGTTCATACTTTCTGCACGTTCCAGAAAGGCTCACCCCTTCTTTGAAGCAAGAGAACTCTTGTGCCCCGCTGCAAGCGGCAATGCAAAACACCGCTGGCCGCTTTGCTCATTAGACACTCTGCATGCAGGACGCAGCACGCAAAATTGAGTCTGTCGACCTGTAGTCAAAGAATGCTGACTGCGGGACAGCTTTTGGAGGGGGCAAATTTGGAGCTGGAGTGCGCACACGTTGGAGGCCGCCATTGTTCAAGTCGCGTAACCCAGGTTTGTGCAGAGCGCTGTGGAGCTTTGGTTATGAGTTGACCCGCTATTTGGTGCGAATGACCCTCTGCAGCCAGCGCTCAAGAACAGTGCGTAACGCCGCTGCGTAGACTTGCGGTTGTGTTACAGGTCGTTGCTGATTGCCACAGACCCGGTTAGCTCCCCGGTTATCCCCTGACGTCCTTTTTGCTGCAGCCTTGCAGGGTTTCAACATTCAACTTCAAGGTGCATGCAGCCTGCAACCAGTGCAAGAACTTGAAGACGTGCTCCCTCACCTGGTTCCTGAGTTTCTCCAACGCCTTGACTCTGAGCCTCAGACTCAGAGGCAGAGTCAAGTTGAGGAGATGGCTGGTCAAATGGGCGGAGCCGAATTGAGAGTTTTGCAACGCTGGCGAAGCTGCCTTTCCCAGCACCGGAGGTTGCAATCCCGCTCTACGGTCAATGGTGCGAATGAATTGAAAGGGTGCAAATGCTGATACCCAATGCAGCTCAGTCAGCTTTGAAGCGCCAAGAGAGAGGCTGCATCTTTCGAATGTTGCTGCATGTAATGCTCTGAGAAGAAAGCTGGAAGGGACAGCATTTGAACCCTCAGTTGATGGTCTATCTCCGGAGGCTTTTGTAAGCATACGTGCAAGGTGAACTTGCGACACTGGAAATCAAAGCGATGACCCTTTTCCCGCTGTTTCAGTGGCCACTTAGGAGCACACTAGCAACTTCGGCTCTCCTTCTCTTCAGCTTAGGTCTTAGCTCAGCGTCCTCAATGGGTGAGCCTCAGGTCAAAAGGTGGTATGTTGAAAAGAATGCATTTGGGGCAGGGCAGCCTCCAAAGCAGTTACGATTGACTGCACCTGAGATGCCCCACCAGTATCCTGTGCTCATATTTCAGGTGAGATGGCATCTGTGCTTCTTCAGCATTGAAAAAAGTTTGCCTCCAACTTAAAACAAGCCCCCTTCACTTGCACAAACACCGGTGTTGCATCCTCCTGTAGAAGCTGTGCTTAGAGTGAACTTCTTCTTGAGAAGACGTTCTTGTTTCCCATCGACCCCTGACCCTGGCTCAATCTGGTCAAAGCATGGACGACTTTTGAAAGAGGGCCCTCGACGGTTTTGTTGTGTGAGCAACCCCACTATGGTTTGTCACATCAAACACGTGAGCCAGCACAAAGCTTGCAAGCTTACTACGCACAGCCCGTCACTGATGCATCCTCTTCAATCGATTCAACAGTTTCTCCATACCATTGTAGCTGTCAGTGTGCCCAAAGGTGGTTGCGACTGAGCTTTTAGAACTTCAGACATGAATATAAGTCAATTTCCGGGGGAAAGGGCACTGTGGTGGCTTCCTGATTCTCTGATCGTCCTGACTATCACATACATGTAATTTGTCTCGGCAAAAGTGGTGTATGTAATTTGTCTCGGCAAAAGTGGTGACACTGTCTATAAATGCTGTTTTGAAACCATATCCGGTAATATCGCCTTGGTCCTCTTGTGCCCGCTCAAAACAGATTGCTGCAAGTAGGTCATTGTCCATATCATGTCATGTTGTGAACATCTTGGATGGGTTTCAGAAAGATCTCCCCTCTGTTGAAAGTGCAGCGCTTTATGGCATGAGTCAACTCCAATAGTCTGCTATCTTGATCTTTAAAATCTGCTATATATCCAGTCCTGTCAAAAGAAGGGTCTCCCCCAACAATTGGACCGACCAGGAATCCTTATAGCAAAAGCTTGTCCAAGAATTTTGCAAAGACATTTCAGATTGTAACTGTGATCTTCTACTCATGCAGCATGGTACCAGTATGTACACGGCTTGGTACTCCACCATCCTCGACCACGTCGCGTCCAGAGGCTACGTTGTCATTGCACCTCAGGTAAACCTTTTTCCCTGCAGAGGAGACCAGGCCCGGTTTAAGAAGAATCAGATGGCTAGTCTCCCTTCTCGATTGGACAAATTCTGGTCGAAATTTCGAGCTACTGCCCATGGCTGAGTCCTGTGAACCTCTCCCCCTTTGTGCTTTTCTTGCGAAGTTATGTGGCTACTTCAAGACAAACTGTTATGTTTTTGGACTTGGCAAAATGACCAAGTGCTGGTAGAGGAGGTTACTGAGGACCTCTCTTTATTTTCAATCTCAACGAGTGTCTCAACTTTTCCCTGCCAGTGTCGTTGCCAAGCACCGGTCACAAGATTGCGACTCCTTTTGTTGCAGAACGATCGCAGGGCCGTAGTATCCGCAATCCACAGAACCACGCCCCTTGAAGCCGATGTCACGAACTTAACTCAGATGATCAGATGAATTTCTGCCAAGTTTCAGCTCTGCTTGAAACTCTCCCCAAATCATCTTTCCGTGCCAGATGTACACGATCTGCCCGCCAAAGTCCACGGACGCGAACGAAGAAATCTTGGAGGCGGCCGCCGTCATCCACTGGATCTCGTCCAATCAGGACAAGCTGGGCCTGCCCCTGGGGGTCACTCTCGACTTCGACAAACTCGCGCTTGCAGGTACAGAACCGTCGGGCTTCATCTCGAAACTACTTTGAGCGTCTTTTGCTCGATTGATTCGGAGCGATGGGTATCCACTCTGGACGCTTGTGTTTCGAAAAGAGTTTCTTGAGGTCGTGCCGACTTGGTGCAAAGCGGCAGTGTCGAAATCCCAATCGACTTGGGCTTGTCGAATCCTGCGAGCCAGGTGTCTCTGCTCCTGGTTTCTAGGTCACGCTTCCTTACCTTTGGAGAACTTATTTCCGCCGCTGCTGTGGGCTTTCTGACTCCAATATCCAGTTTCGGCGTTTTCTGGTGTTGACAAGAGTCAAAGAACGACAACGCTCACGCTTTCCTTACTAAGTGTTCGTGGTATTTCGACGAAGCGCCCAGTGAAGTGACGTCTGCTCCGATGGCGACCCTGCAGGGCACAGCCGGGGCGCTAAGGTCGCCGTAGCGCTGGCCAGGAAGCTCCTGAACACTGACGTCACGATGCGCGCGCTGGCGGCGCTGGACCCAGTCGACGGGCCCAAGAACGGGAACCCGATTGCGAAAGACACGGTGAGGAGTGGGACAGAAAGGCCGCAGACTCTTGCTTTTCAAGTCTTCAGCCTCTCAAACTTATCACCTTTCCAGCTTTACAGGCTTCAGCAGCGAACGGAGGCCTCTATAAGTCTTCCGTCCCCTGCAAGCGCGCCCTAGCCAGCTTACGGACTTGCAGTGGAAGGATTCGGCTCCAAAGCTCTTGGCAAGCCTGCAATAGCACCGGCGCTTATCTAGGGTACAGTTCCTTCTTTTCTTCCAAACTTACTCCTATGCCAAGCCCCCCATTCTGTGCAGCGCCCGAGCAAAGCAGCGGCCTTCAAATGCTCCACAAATCAGCATTTCAAGCAAAGCACTCTCCAAAAGGAAGTAATGTGCCAGTTCATCCCAAAGCCCCAGTCAGTAAACCGTCAGCCAAGCCCCCTATTTGTGCCCAAGCAAACAGGCCACATCCGAATGTTTCAGCGACCACTCCGTCGCTTAGGCGTCCCCCGCCTTCCTCAATGACTCTCGGCTTGGGGGATCTCCCCGACTCTGCCAGAAGCGTCCCCTCCCCCCCGATGTAACCCTCGATCAAGCCCCCCATCTGTGCAGCGCCCGAGCGAACCGGCCACCTCCGAATGTTCCACCGACCACTCCGTCGACTTGGGTGTCCCCGCCCTCCTGTTCGGTTCCGGGCTTGGGGGATCCCCCACGCTCGGAGGCCTAGCCGGGCCCTGCGCCCCGGCCGCGCTTGGATACGCCCAGTTCTTCAGGGCGTTCAAAAGCACGACGTATCAGGTGAAGTGCCCATTCTTTACAAAAGCAGAAGCTTCTTGGGCTTGAGTATTTTCTGCTTTTGGACGCAACAGTACTGATCGGTCCTCCTCTTCTTTCTCTCTTGTCGGAGTTGGTTCGTTTCGTTGTGCTCGTGTTCCGTACTGTCTGAATCAGCGAAGCAAGTAACTGAACTGCATGCGGGCTGCAGCAACGGCGATGCGTATGACCTGATGTGAGGTGCCTTCTCTAGTTGTGTGCTTGGAACGGTTAAGACGCGGCACAAGCGCGCCGTGCGACTCTGGCCTCCTGCAGTCGCTGAAGTCAGTGCTTCCCTCCGTAGTGACGCATTCGAGCGTTGAACGCAAGCCGTTGGTCGTGAGCGAGCGTGCTAGTGTGACAATTCTCAAGGGACCGCTCCAATCGTTAGGCGAAGGAACGTGCAAGCCGAGCATCGGACATCCCCTCAATTCTTTCTTCCACCCTTCTCCCAGTTCGTGGCCAAGGACTACGGACACATGGACATTCTGGACGGGAAGAAGGAGGGTTGTCCGTCGTTCTCACGTTTCAAGAATTGTTTGGCGACCAAGGTGTGCCCGGGGTGTGGCCCCGGGCGGAGCCGCGGGGAGCTGAGAAGCTACCTGGGGGATCTGCTGGTCGCCTTTCTGGACTCTTCCTTAAAAGTAAGGCGCTTCTTCCCAGTGCCTCCTTGTATCGCGTCACAAGATGGTCGGAGGATCGCTGTTCTCAATATTGCTTGAAACGTTGCCCAGCATAGAACTCGGAAAGCACGTGAAGTCAGAAGCTACCTGGGAGACCTGCTGGTCGCCTTTCTGGACTCTTCCTTGAAAGTAAGGCGCCCTTCTGCCTTCCAAGAAGGACTTGGAATGGGTCGGCGAACGGATCTGACTACGTTCAAGCCGATCCAAATGACTTGAACATCCCGTTGCGAAGTTGTTCGGTACGCGGTGAGGTTTGAAGGGCTACAAGAAGGTGCCTACTTGCTTGTAATCGTTTCGATGACCACGAGGCATTTGCCGTTTTCTGGCTTCGGTTGCAGGGCTGGCGTCGATTGTGCAGGTTGCTTGATTGCCTAACTATTGCCGCGTTCGACCGAGGATGCTGGCGATTGAGTCACTTAGATTTTGTGTTTACGCAGAACAAGCCCGGGGGCTTAGAAAAGCTGAGAGTGGAGTGGGAGAGCGCTCCCATTGCGGTCGAACAGCCGAAGGTCTATGCCAGCCCCAGTTCGGAACCGGGCCGGGGACCGGATCAGTCCACGTCTCACTATGAGAGTCCAACGAGAGTTCTAGAGCCGGCATCAGTGTAACTGAGAATGTTTGATCAGGGTCGAACTGAGCATGTAGTGATTGAACATATAGTGATAGCCCGATGCAGAATCTCCACAATGGGTGCAAGCAACGAGGCCGATTGGACCTTCCGCGTCCGTCGCAACACGTCGACTCTTTGGGCTGTTCCCCGAGTTAGGACGGACTGTCAATTTAAGGCTGAGGACTGGTCCCAGAGCTTGAGCACGCCTTTCACGTCGATCAGCTAGTAGGTCGGCGTGATCAAGCAAAGAGAGCGGGTCAGAAATAGTTTGGAGATGCACCGCATGCCAAGCATGAAGCCTATATATGAAGACCTGCGGATCGAGGTGGTGATTGCGTCTTGTCAGACCGTCCAACTTGTTGCCTGCACGCATTATCATGATTGATCGATGCCTTAATGTGAATCATGCTCAACTCGATGTCCCCCGGCCCATGTCGGGACTGCATGGGCGGCCGGCAATGATGCGTTATATGATCATGTGTTGAGCTAGCTTCTTCTGTTTTCTGTTTTCGTCGGACATGGACGCTAAGGCTCTGAGTCTAAGTAGTTGAAATGAGTCTGGCCCCAAGATATTTTTCACGGCATCCAGCTGATAACTTAGTTCCCGCGACGGTACCTTCGACAATTGAACTCGGCAAAGAGTCCCAACTTTTCAATCACAAGTACGTTGCGCCGCGCTTTAGGCCCGTGCACACAATCATCCCGCAAGAAATTCGTGCTGCGCCAAGAACTCAGTCCTCACTCAGTCCTCACGATAATGTCGCGACGTAAATGTCAATTTCACAGCGTGTTTTCCAGGGTTTCTCTGTGCAAATTCATTACTTTGACATATTCACGCCTGGGCAGAGCTCTACTGTGTGGAATTCAAGTTCGTAAAAAGCGTCGGAGCTCATCAGGGGGATGTCCTGAAGACAGCCACCGCACAGAAAGTGCAGGAAGGTATTGCTCAGCTTTGCACAAACCGGGCGGGCGCGATCCATCAACGATTTGCAAACAATTTCTTCCTGTATAAGGGGACTTTTAGTATACGGCATATTCGATTGAATGCAGTTAGTGAGCGGGGAGCTGCTAATGCGACGTACTTCATCATGCTGCTTGCTGGCACCACGTCACCAGAGGGTTTGACATCACTATGTGAATGCAGGTCTGGTTGCGGGGACCCTTTTCCTTCTACCGCACACTTTCGAATATCCTTGTAAATCATTCATATGTACAGCCTGTCGTAATATTCAGTCAGAAACGATGCAGGAGGACTTTATGGTAGGTTTGCAGTGATGCTGCAAGGGCGTTCGCTCGGATTTTCGATCAGACGGTGGCCTTACCGACTCTGGCTCTGGCGAGCACCCGATCCTTGTGCCAGTTATCATCATAACGGTTATGTCCTTTCGTGTGATTATCAAAGGAAAGTAAGCTCGTCTAGCAGGAAATACCAGAGAGTCAATACGTACATCGCACAAAGTTTTATTTTGAGACAAGAGTCGTTCTCGACACCTACAAGCCTCCCTTCCTGTGTCCAGCTCGCTCAGGCTCGCCCACCGACCGTTTGACAGGGACACGTTTGGACAGAAATTAGCTCCTGAACAGACTCTATAACCCAGAAACCGTGACGTCATCCTTGCCCCAAAGTAGCCTCCTCGCATCTTGCACTTTTTGCTATCTGTGCAAGGCTCGAAAGCTGCTCTGCGTTCAAAGCTTCCCAGAAGGCCTTGTCTGAATTGAGCTTCTCAAAGGTATCCCCAACCGTGTCTCTGATTTTCTTATCGAGCATTTGCACGTCGGACCCGTGCTCCTTGGAAACGAACTCGAGCCAAGAGCCGACGGAGTCTAGAGTGACCACTGCCATGTCCGAGATGTTCGAGCACAGAGAAAGCAGTCCGCAAGCGTCCGCCAAAGAGAAGAGCTCCTGCAAAGAAAATTTAATCATCTAGGATGCTGTTCTTACAAGAGCTCTTGTCAGAAATTTCTTTCTTTGCCAAAGACGCTCTTACGGATGAAGGGAAAAACTTGGCATGAGATTGCGAAAGCTCCTTTTATGCTTTGTGGGCACTCTTGGGATAGAGAAAATTCACACCGCATGGTTCTCAATCCCTAGAACGTGACATTCTACTGAAGGCAGTTTCAGAAGCTCGCCACGAGACCACATTTGAGGCTCGCCCATCAGAATCATCTCGGCGTTCTGTCAAAGCGCCACCATTTCGATTGTTATCCATTTATCGATCAATTTGAAGTTCTATGTATCCTATCATTACCTGCATCATGAGAGCGTCCGTTGGGCTGAGCTGTCGCAGCGACCACGCGCCTCCGTACGCGTACTTGAGAAACGCCTCCACGGCGTCCCGGGTCACCGGGCACGGCAGGCTGAGCTCCAGCTTGTTGGTGAGGGTCCACCCGGGCCCCGACCAGTCGTCCTTGAGCCTGGTTCTAAAGTAGGGGATGCTGGCCAAGACCGCGGAGTGGGCCGGGACCTTGGAACCGTCCTGCGTCGACAAAAAAGATCGGACACGTCACGTGCTCGGGAGGGCTTCAACGAGCTTCCAAAGAAATTGCGAGGAGGGATAATGTTGGTGATTAACACGATATTTATCAGAAAATGGAGATTACAGCATCTGGAGCCTGGAAAAGCAGCAGTCAGACCCTCACTTTCGAGACTGCCTTTGAGCGCTTGAGGATGGGAATTCAAATTGTCGCCTAATCCAGCCCACAAAACAAAAAGCTGCATATGACCCAGCAGATTGAAAGATCTTTTAAGTAGGAATTCCTCTAGGGCTTTCGCATCGAACCCAAATGGGTCTCAAAATCGCAAAGCACGTGCGACGTCTCATGTGGTCTCCGTCAGTCAGTAAGAGCCTACGGATCTAATGACCAGGGGTAGAAGTCCCACCTTGCAGACGAGCTGGATATCCCCCGTCTGTTCTGCTTCGTCCAACAGAGAAGCCTTGAGCAAGGGGCTCTTCGAGTCGCTGAAGAAGCAGACAAGAAAGGGCTGCTCTGTCTGGTGGTAGAAACTCAAGGAGTGTCGGACAGCTATCTCTAAATCGCATGGATAGCCTGTTGGGGGCTGCAGCTGGCACTTTCCGTTCTGCGGCATCTGCACAGACCCTAGCTCCTTTGCACCCTTTCCTTGCAGCCCAGTTGCCTCGTGAATAGTAAGACCCTTCACCGTACATTTGTAGGCGCTGGAAACCTTCCCGTCTGCATCGGGCTCCTCGAGTTCAACAGTCGCTGAAAGGGGCTTCTCAATCTTGAGACTTGTTCTTTCGAAGGTGAGAAAAACTGTGCCCAATGCGCTTGCGACTCTCCCAAGCTTTTCGTTTTCCGGTTTGCGGAGAACGTAATCGCGAGAAGCGTGAACAAAAGGTGGAAATTGCTCTAATCTCAGTGAATAGAGAGCTGTCACGTCCAAATTTTGGAAGCTTTCGAAGCTTGTCTGGGTCAAAGTGCTCTTCATTGGGTCGAATTCTGACCAGTAAAAAGAGATTTGGATGCTATGAGAGTCCACTGGTTCCCTCGCCTTTTGCGCCATTCCGAAGACAAACGGTTGTGTGCCGAGACCGAGGACCTTGATCAGTCAGGGTTCCGCGACTCGCTCTGCTACAGCTCCTTAGGAGACACGAAAAGGCGGTGATCGTATGCTTTGATTTCTTCAATGTTGGCAGCTTGCGCATTGAAGAATGTTCCTTAAAAATGCAAGCATGTCATTAGATATGAAAGGGCTCTGATCTGTAGCATCTCGGTACGTTCACGGAATATGCATGCGCACGTGAAGAGACCTTGATAAAAAGGAGCCCCGGTATCCAGAGTCCTTCCTTCTGATGACGCTTGTTTCCGTGAAGGATTCGTGATCAAGTCCGTGAAGTCGTGGCCCCTCCCATGCTACAAAGAGTCCCAGCTTTCATGCGCAACGATTGTCCTGCATGCGTTGCAGGGTGTTTTTACAGCCTCGTGTCGGCATTTCCAGCCAATCATCATCAGATGTCTGAATCTTTGCAACGAGTATGCGCAGGCGCTACGGCAAACTGATCGAAGCACAGAGTCAAAGTCACTTGATAAAAGAAGCAGCCTACCTAACCGCTTTCGTCGAGCAACTGCAAACACAAGGTGCACATCCGTCTCATACTTTCGAAAGTCATCAAAATTGGAGGGCGTGCTGAGCTTGCATACCCGGCTATCCCAACTGCAAAGATGCTGCAAGACGAAGGGACATTCCTAGTCGACTAGCCAGTCCGATCAAATCGACGGGGCGTAGCATGCTGCCAGCTGGGACCGTCGCGGCCGCGCGCAGTGAGCCCCCGCGGCAAGATAACGTAGAACCCCCGAAACCCCGGGGCAATATGAGGGGCACGCAAGAGCACGCGGCCGGCACGGCGGCCCTACGTCACCGTGACGGAACTGTACCATCACTTTTGCGGAAGCGTAGATGTGAGCGTGGTCAGCGCGACGTCTAACGCCTGGCAGGTCATCTGCCGCTTGCAGGCTTCATTCTGCAGCTCATTTGGTCTCTTCGACTCACGGAAAGACGCAGGCCGGTTCTAATAGAAGGGGCGTTCGGCAGTTTGTTTGCGGTCCTGCCTTAACACTTTGAGTTCAACGCCAGCCTGTTCCTTGAAGGTCGCTCTGAAGTGCTCGCAGCAAATCAAGTGGGCCTTCAAAGAGTGTTCAACTGCTCTTCGCTTCCTTTACTTTGCAGCGCTTCATTCGCTGGCGGCAGCCTGCCAGGCCGGCACAACGGAGAAGATCGACCAGCTCTTTAAGCAGCCTCAGAGTAACAGATTGTGAAGCGAGAGAACCCAAGAGCTCTCCAGGTTGTGACAACCTAAGATCAGCGCAAAAGTCACGAGAAAGCCCCAAGCAAGACGAGTAGTTGGAGGCCTCAACAAAGAGAGATAAAACATGGAAGGGGTGGCGATCAAACTTCGCGGGAGTGCTCGGCAAGCGGGGCCATGACGCCTGACCTGAGGATCCAGGTCGTTTCTGATCTTCATGATGAGGAGAGCAGAGGAAACGCCACAAGGATCCCTGTGAAATGAGTGGTTAGCAGTCGTTGAACAGGTTGACCGCTAACCACGCCGAGCTCCAGCATGATTAGAAACCGCAAACATGGTCGAGAATGGTTATAGAGTGGTTAGCGACCACGTTAAGCAGCCAATCCTTCCTGTGAAAGCCCCCGTTCTGGCTCTGCGTGAAGACATAGGCATCCCATCCACCAAGATTTACGCGAGCTTCTTGAAGACCGTGTCGCAAATTTTTGACACCGTGCTGGTTTTAGCGGGGAATCATGAGTTCTATCTAGATAAGAACGGGGGTAGAGAGAGAGTATGGGCAGAGGAAAGAGGAGATCAAGGAGCTGTGCGCGCGTTTTGCGAACGTGCATTTCTTGGATTGCGCGAGCGTTCACCTCAAGGGGGTCACAGTCCTGGGCTGCACGCTAAAAATGGAGCCACGTGCCTTCCTCTACAGAATCAGACGTCATGAAGGACTTAGAAGACTACGAGAAAATAATGATCTGTGACGCAGACACTAGCTATATAAGGTCGCTCACTGTGGCTGACACCAACTCTTTCAATGCATGCGAGGTCGCCTTTCTCCGGAGGGGAATTGCGGCGGCAGCGGCGAATGGGCGAACCGTGCTAGTGCTAACCCATCACGCCCCCCTCATGGCGGGAACCTCCGCACCGTGGCATCCGCCTAACCAAGGCCTTAACCACGCGTTTAGGACAGACCTGAGTGACCTGATGGGCAGCCCGGTGGCTGCGTGGATTTATGGGCACACGCACTATAACCCGAAAGGGTTACAGGCTAACGGGACTAAAGTGCTGGCAAACCAGAAGGGTTACAGTAAGGAAGACACGGGTCGACCTTTTGACCCGGGCCTGGTGCTCTACGTGAAGAGACTGGTGGAGACGAGCGTCGAAACTCAATGGGCGAGGAATGGTGAACATTCAGTCCCCATTGATTCCGGAAAGGGGCCTCGAGATGCATGGACGGCTTGAGGTCCATGTGTAGCTTGAGATTATCATCCTCTGAAATGTGGAACTTGATTGACTCTCGGGATCAAGCTAGGCGGGGGAGCAAACAGGACTTCTTGAAAGAAAGAGACGAGCAGACCTTTGCATCCCCATTGAACAACGCCCAATATCTATTGTTGACATCCGAGATAGCAGAGAACTGCAAAACTTAGCCAGTATCGAGTAGGACATCTGCCACGATTGATAAGTACGATCGGTGCCTCTTAAAAATATATCTGAATGCGCGAATGGCCGGGCGCAAGATCGTATGCATGTTAGCCTAACATAGTTGTGCCTTCAGGGCTGCGATCAGTCTTTCAGTTTCATTCCAGCTAGTTTAGAAGAGTCATTGACCACTGAGTCGCCTGCGGCGCGCGTCACTACGGCGTAGCTGCGGCCGGATGCAGCGACTTTGAAAGAGCCGGCCCATGGTATATTTTTTTGGGGCTATACGAAACAGCACAATGATAGATCAGTGTCACTGTGCATGCCAATTTGTAGTGTATGCTCAATCCCAGTACACATGAACCGGGTCGGAGTGAATATATGAAGATGACGTATAGTCGCGGATTGAGCGGAGTGAGCTGCAGTGCACAAGTTGCATGACGATTTCAATACTAACACGCCCTTAGTAGGTGCGACTGGCAGTGCTTCTGCACTTATGCCTGCAAGGGGCAAGCCTGGGTTTCTTGCTGAATTGAATTGTAGTGGCCTGGCCGGCACGTATACATACTCATGCCTACGCTGCAGACTGACTCAATGTGAGAATATGATTCTGACGTTATAACCGTACAATTCAATGCATCGAACTGAACAGTCTCAGTGCAATTGGGTCTTTCAACCAAATGGACAGGCAACTACCTAGACTCCTCTCATGAGGCCGTATCATTCACCTGCTTGCAGCAGACTTCTCGCTTCTTTACACCAACAATTACAGACATGCAATATGTTTAGTTCAACTTACACGAACTTAGTACTAAACGTTTCCAAGGTCATCATTGTATTGATGTACAGAAGCGCAATTTGCGGTGGTACATCTGAGACGCGTGGCTCCGTCGCCTATTCAAGAAAGACACTGTGGAGGAACTTTTGAACGGGGTTTCGGTGCTTCGGCTGTCCTGGAGGCGGCAATTCTGCGATCAGCGACAACAGAGAAAGGTCCATCAATGCGAGGAAAACGCAAGGACAAAGCTTACAAACGTTGGACCACTTGGAATAGAGGACGCCGGTGCGAGCAGAGGCCGCGGCAGGTGAAAGACTTGAGGATACTGCCACTCTTGTTCTGAGAGAGAGCACGGTCAAGCTATGTCTCTCCAGTCCGAAGCCGCATGCTTCGAAATCTCAGCCCCTTGCGTGTGAAAGCTAGAGCCGACAGGCACCATCCGCGTCGCTCAACAGTATCTAACTAAGAATAGGTGTGCCGACAGTGAAGGAAACCGACCGACTGTCATCAGCAAGTGTGTCGCCAACCGACAGAAGAACTCGACGCACGCTGCGATATCGCATCAAAACAAGAGGCTCCTCATCAAGAGACTGACAGCCACTGTAAGATAACTCAGGGGGCCCAGATCAAGTTCAATTTCGATATATTTGGGCACGTTGAAAAACATAACACGTGAAACGTTGGTGGGCTCACCAGACGCTGGGTAGATTGAGTTGTAATGAACGTCGGCCCAGAAGCTGAGGTACAAAACTGCAACAGTGACGCCAAACAGATTTAGTATGGGGTCTGTGACTTGCAGGAAATATGCACCAGTGCAGTCACGGAACGAGGAAGAGCTGAAAATGAGCGCGAGCTCGCCTTTACGAGGAGCATTTGGCTGATTTGACGAAGCCTGAGCGTCAATGAGGAGTCGACGGTTGACAAAAGAGCGCGGCTGCGTTGTTTAAGTAGTCCGTTGGAGCCCGGCCACGATTGTATGCCGGAAACAAGAGTGTCAAGACCAGGCCGCAAGCGCTCCGGGCTGTGAATGGCTTCTCACAGACCTCAAAAGTAGCCAGAGAGTACCATGTTGTAAACTGCGATGCACGTGAATCCTCGTGTCTGTAACGTAAGGTCTAAAGAGTGACGTGTCCCTGCCCTTGTCACGAGAAGCTGCCACAGATTTTATAGGGTTGCGCGATCAAGGCGTCACGTTCTAAAGGACCAGAACTTGTAAGCAAAGATGCGATACTCACCTCTTTGCGACTTCGTCTCCCGAGGCTCGATCTGGATGAACCCGTTGTCCTTGAAGGTGGTCAGCAGACTGATCTTCAGACCGTACTGCACAGCGCCCGAACATCGATCAACCAGATATCTATTGAAACAATAGCTTTCAAATCTTCACGATGCAGTATAGAGGAAGCCATAAGACGTTAAGATAAGAGCCACCGATTGCTGTGGCTTTGTGGCTTCGCCCTCGCAAGCAGAAGATGGTGTTGTTTGCAGCGGTCAAAAAGGGAATAAACCGGTGGATTTCACCAAAGAGACTACTACGATCGTCCAAGAAACACTGTACATGGCTGCACATAAGAGTGACGCATTCTCGATCACTTTCTGCCGTCACAGACTGTAAAGCCTATTGGAACTTCTTCCAGAATATAGTAAGCAACAACGAAATATTCAATGAAGCAGACAATCATGTGCGCCCTAGCTTTGACAAATTCGGCGACAAGGTCGCCTGCCGTTCCCTGACGGCGAGACATAGGGTAAGACCAGCATCTGCTGTCACTTACTCGGTCGGCGGCTGCTTGGAGGGTGATGTGATCGCCCCACTCGCCGTCCCTGCAAGATGCACACCCCCACTGAGCACCCCTCATTGTGAAGTCAGCATGACCCATCGTTTTTAAACTCTTTGGGCTCCTTCAGAACACCATTTGGAACGATCAGAACCGACCAGTACGGTTCTCCGACGTATCAAGTAGCAAAGCGAGAAAGAAACGGGAAGTTGCACAGAAGTCGCGGTTGAGGGCGACTTACGTCGCCAATCGCTTGAAGTAGTGCTTGTAGTCCTCGTCAGAGACGTAGGCTTCGTAGAACTGGGGGTGATACTTTAACTGCACGGGCAACAAGAGTCAGCCTTCACCCCTGGTATACAGGAGTGAACTGACGGCAAACTAACGTGACCTTAAACGGATCTACGAGGTGCCAATCTCTCTCGAGCTTCTAAGCAGCTTTCTCCAAGCAAGCCCCCGTCCAAATACAGCCGACGGTGCCCAACCTGAATGCTCTTGCTCTTTTCAATTGCGTCCTTTGTGCTGTTTTGAGTTGTGTCCTTAAACCAGACACATCCGACGCTAAAACGTTCGCGGTGGGCAAAGGCAACTGCGCCTGACCAGCAACACCAGCATATTTCCACTGAAAGGATTCCCCTGGATCTATGCAACTACCCTGTGGCAGTCCTCCGACACAAACCCCCCGGATCTGCGACGTTGAAGACATCTGCCAAACTGAGTAGTGTCGAGCTAAGCTAAACGTCCAAACCCCGCACTATCGAACAGGATCAGAGGACCGTTCGTCAGTGTGGTTTGGTGAACGAGCCGATGCCAATCTCTCACGTACTGCTCCACTACTTTTTCAGATCTTTGTCGCTTTTGACGGTCTCTGCATTTCAGGCTCCAAAAAGCCGCCCGTTCGCAGGCACCCCACTCCCTTACCTGCTTGTACACCGCTTTCCGGACGTGCTCGTGCTTATCTGGCGTGTGGTACAACTGGTCCGACAGCGCGCGGAACTGCAGAGTGGCAGGGCGCGACCGATCAGGGCACAAGCTTCGGGCTTCGATCGAGGGTCGAAAGATGGTGATGGAGTTTCAAGAAGGCGTGCATAGACACACCGAATCTAGCTCATTCAGCTTCATGTCAGCATGCTTCTTGGTTGCGCTGAGGTCGGCGTCGGCATCAAATCCGCACTGTCCTTTGAGCCTAGCCGTCTTACTTCATAGTTATCAAATGGCTATGAACTTGCGAGTTCCTGAACTAATCATGAGGGTGCCCATCAACCTCCTCGTTCTTCTGGGTACTGGGGATTGACGACAAGAGAATAGGAGACCGCATAAAAAACATGCCGGCGTCTATGGTGGCCCGATTGCTTGAATTTTACACTCTGATTTCATGCCGGTGGGAATTCCGTTCGTAGAAAACTTGTACTGTCCCCCCGAACAAAAGCTGATTGAATGGTATACCTGAAAAAGTGGAGCAGGACTCACCTGACAATTGCCATCTCCTGCCACGTGTCGCTCTGCCAGCCCGTAAGCCTTCAACCTGGACACAAACCGCCAACGAAGTGAGCATGACCGACAAAAAGTTTGCATCAAAAGGAATCAATTGATCGGAAAATCGATCGAGCACAGGCATCGAACTTTGCGGAGTAGTATAAGGTGACATTCGGATGAAGTCGACCAGTCTAACAATCTTGTGTCGCTCATTTCGGTTTTTTCACTCCGATAACTGATTGAGTAGCCCAGCATCTGCTTTTGTTGATTCGTTCAAAACCTGCAGTCTCACAACGGCACAGCATTTGTTGAAAGTTTGGTGACCTTCCTTAACCCAAGATGACCTACAGGACTACGAGATAGCGTTGCCTTTACTATCGCAGTCACAAGATGACACGTTTGTCTGCTTTACCCCCCCGGTTAGCAGCTTAACCCCCAACCTCGAAATGGTTCTGTCAGGGCCTAGCTTTGATTCCTTACCGGTCGACCAGCAGCTCGTGGTCTTCGCTCGACGACTTCTCATCCCAGGTTGGCACAAACGAGTTGGTCCTGAGCACATGCTGCAAAGAAGAAGAGTGCAAACTGAACATACGCACAATTGATCGATTTGAATTCTTGCTAAAGCTGTTTTTATCGCGGCTCCAAAGAGACGGAAAAGACGAATCAAAGGCAGTAGCTACGAAGGAAAGTACTTTCAACAGACTACCTCAGCATGCTTCTTGCCGGTTGAATACCCTGGGTATGCAATCCACTGTAGCGTAGGCACCAGATTGTGCCATGCAAGATAGCCTTCGTAACTTACATATACTCGCCCAAAAACCTGCCGGCCAGATCACTCTTGGGAGCCAATCAGCAATTTCTTCAGATCTATGGTGAAATCTGGACAATCATTTAGTGCTCACCGGTATGGACTTCATGTGCCGCAACTTTGCTCCCACTGGCCCATCAAATCTTGTGAAAGTGTCATGCAACGGCGAACCTGCCAACAAGTAGTGGCAATGTTTTCAAACTTCATAATTTTTGAAGCCAAGGGTCACAAAGTATCTGCTTGTAGCTATCCGCCTTGATGCTGATTCACAGCGGCAGGTTCTCATTTCTTTCATGAAGCATAATGCTAAGGTGGCTTGTAGAGGCAGCGGAATACAGAGGTCAAGTTATGATCTGCAATGCAGAAAGCCCCAGGCATTGATCACATGTTTGAAGAGGCTTTCTCCTTGTGGATCTTTTTGAACCATGCTGAAACCTCATGAAACTCCGGAAGGGTAAGCCAAATTCACCGTGCTACATGCGCTACACTTGTGGCTGTACACCAGCCACGATAAGCAACATCGACCTGAAAACCTGAAAACTTAAGCCCCATATCGAAAAACCTCAATGCAAGCTAGCTCCATCAGCTCTGTCTAAAGTGGCCTGAGACTTGGTCTCTGTCTAAAGTGGCCTGAGACTTGGTCATTAAGGTAAGTTACAGCTCCAACAAAGTCGGCACAAGGGCGCCTTTGAAGCAAACGTCATCCTTCCTGCTTCTTACAAAGACTTGCAAACCCAATCTTGCTCAAGGGTTAACAAGTCTTTAAATTGTCCCCGTGTTTGGTATTATGCATATTGTCAAAAAACCTGATCTCTCCTATTGACAGTAGGAAAACATTAGGGACGTCAACCAACCATAACCAAAACCTTCATCAAAAAATGAGGGAAGTGCATGCGATGAGAAGTAATAAACCTTAGTAGCAACATATATGTCGCTCCTTTGCATTGCCCAATTTTGGAAAATCACAACTGCAACTTCCTTTCCGCATTAATGAACGTTTCCCTGTTACCCTGAGTACATTCAATGCCTCAAACCATACTCACCCTCCGCATCTGATGGAGTTCCCGAATTAAAACTGGCCGACTCCTCCAGTTCCTCCGGAGAGATGATAGGCACGATCTTGGGGTCCGTCTTTATCCCATCAAAGAACCCGTCCGGGGGAATGACCTCTGACGCAACAGGCGTCCCCGGCCCCACAGAACTAGCTTCACTTTTGGTTGAGACCCCTTCCAAACCCTCCCCCACTCTTTGAATCTCCGTGTTTGCGTGCGCCTGCTGAGAACTCCCTGTACTAGGGCTGTGGTCAGCCGGAGGATTTGTATTAACTCGCAGTTTCTGTAGAACGTTTAAGTCCACCGGAGCGTCTGAGCTCTGGGCCACCTCTAGTTCCTGGGCCTGCAAGCCTTGGGCCAGCTCCAGGTCTCTCCTCTCAGACGGCTCCACAGAAGCATGCACGGCGTCATTTCTAACCACGCCTAGTTCTTCGGCCTGCAGATCACGCGCCAGCTCAACATCCGTCTGCCGCTGCCTCGCCTCCTGGGCCTTGCGAACTTGCTCCCGCAATGTGTCTGCTTGGTTTTGGATTACAACATTCCATTCATTGAAATGAGAGGTGTCTTCCTGAACAGGGGGGACTGACGAGGGGGGGTCTGCATATTCCTGACGGAGGGGAGGGGGTTTGGGAGCACGACCGGCGCGATACTCTTCTTCCTGAACCGCCCGAGCCAATGCTGCATCACTAGCCACTTGGTTTTGAGAGTACATGATTGCTGGTCAACAGAAGCAAGAGCAATGACAAGACAATCCTGCCAAAGGCTCTCCTTCTGAACTTAGTTTGGAGGATACACAAATGGGTTTAAAAGGCAGCTATTAGATAAAGAAAGCGAAGGGGCACTCAAATTGTGGCCAATCGAGCTTTCTACCATTCCAACGAGGTGGATAGACCGCCCTTCAGTGGAACTGAATTTTCAAAGCTCCTCAAAAGCATGCAGGTTGCTGGAACTTGGAAGCAGCGCTTTTGCAGCGGTCGAGCTTCCTGCTTCGTCGCGAGGAACCATGTTGACATCATTCATGACAGCTTCCCAGCTAGCGCGCCAGCTTGGCCTCAGAAAGCGCACGCCAACTTCAGTGCAAATGCTGCCACCTGGCGCCCGATGCTGATCTGGCAAAATTTGGCGCGGAAGCAGAGCCATCCGATTGGTTCATACACTATTGCGCGTATTCACATCAATGAGTCACGGGCACGATTTAGGGCTTGCCAACTTGCAAAAGCGGCGCACAATGACGCCGGGCGGATTTCACAACGGGAAAGAACCAACGGAAGTGTTCATGATATCAGAAAGCCCCTCTTCTCATTGGAGCGGTGGTGTTTCTGCAGTTTGAAGGACAGGGAACAACGTAGAAGTTGAACGCGATATCTCCAGGGGTTCAGGATGGGTGTTCAGGGGCTGTGGGAGCTGTTGGCCCCCGTCGGCCGGCGTGTGTCCGTGGAAGCTCTTGGAGGCAAGCGACTGGCAGTTGGTGAGTATTGCAGCCACTTTTGCCTTCGTGGGGTATGTATTTTAGGTCATCTTGGAGAGTTGTTGTGAAGTAGTGCTCAGGAAGCTCCTTTACTCGACATTGAATCTAGTTGAAGCACAATCAGCGAGGTTTAGCAGTTGGTATCCAGCAAGATGATGGTGGTGATTTGAGCAACTGTTCTCAGGCGCGGCTTTGAGAGATTCCTGAGACTGTTGAGGACGAAAGTCAGAAGAACGGGCCCTTGGAACATCGTTACATCGGCGTTCTTTACAGTTGATTGTAATATGATCACCTGCAGACACGGATCTTATCTTGTCTCGTATTCGCGCTCTCCACAAGAAGCCAACTTGCGCAGGGATGCAAGGAGGGAATGCTGACCTGATCGACAGAGCTTAGCATTTGGTCTGCTGTTGCACTTCAAAATGATGGTTCTTAAGTGGTTGGCGGACTGAAGTTGGACCTTAAGAATTGGAATAAGAAGGACGAGTCAGTAACTTTGAAGAGCACCTAAGAAGTGGTTCTGCTGCACCACCATTAGCGATACATAGCCGACACCATATCCACCTGCGAGTTGACTGCAAACGGTTTCCCAGACCTGAATCCCTCTGCTTCTTGGTTTCTTTGCAGATGCAAGCATCTGGATTGTCCAGTTCATGAAGGCGATGCGCAATGACCAAGGCGAGATGCTCCGTAACGCACACTTGCTGGGGTTCTTCCGGCGCATCTGCAAGCTGCTGTACCTGCGCGTGAAGCCCGTCTTTGTGTTTGACGGGGGCACCCCCGCTCTGAAGCGGCAGACGGTCATGGCTCGCAGGCGGCAGAGGGACAAGTCTCAGGCAAAGATCAGGTCAGATTTCGACGCTTATATTAGTTATTATCCAAGAAAGTAGGGCTTGTACTCTGACCTTTGATGCAGTATGCAAAGCTCAGCTTTATAAGTGTTGACTGCAGTTCCTTTCCTGGTAAACTATCTGGTGGTTGGAAGTAACAAGCTGAAGCCCCGTGTGTGGAACAGGTCGTCAGATGATTTGATTTAGGGCGGCCCTGTAAAATACGTTACAGACTTACAAAATGACGGTCTGATCTTGAGAGTGAAAGCATTTTGACTCCATGGTCACTCAGGCAGTAGCCCGTGGGCTTACTGGCAGGTGCAAGTATAACCCGTACCACCAACTGCAAGGAAAGATTGGCACTTTAGATTGATCTGAAAAGCCACTGCCCCACTGTCTGCAGGAAAACCGCTGAGAAGCTGCTCCTGAACCATCTCCGAACCCAATGCTTGGAAGAGCTCGTCGAGAAGAAGACCAAGGCCTCCCGCCTGAAAATGCAATCACCAGTCCCTGGGGCGACTTTCACCCCAGACTCTGCCCCCCCGGAAGAACCAGCCCCGCAGCGAAAGCAGCGGAGGGGGGTCCGTGCAGATGGGAGGGGTCAGTTTAGTGTCGTGCGAGGTGCCGAGAACAAGAAGGGGAAAGCGCTGAAGAGGCGGCTGAGGAGAAGGATCAAGGAGAAAGGAGTGCGGAGGCGCCAGGCAGCGGCACAAGGGGGTCAGGGGGAAGACGGGGAAGTTGAGAGCGAGGGAGATGGGGAAGAAGACGTTGAGCTTGAAGAGGAGGAGGAGGAGGAAGAGTGGGAGGAAGGGCAAGGGGGTCTTGGGGATGGAGATGCTGGGGCGTCGACAAATACCCATGCGGCGCAAGGAGCTGAAACAGGGAAGGTTATTGGCCAAATGTCTCAGGGGCCTGGTCAAAGTCCGCCGGGGGCCAGTGCAGGTGGATTGGCGTCGATGGCGGGTTCTGCGGGAACAGCGGCTCGAAATTTCAGAGGGGAACAGGGGTTGGGGCTTCCTGGTTCGGGAATGTCGGCCTCGATAGAGCGACGGCCTGCTGCAGAACCGCAGGGTGCAAAGGCTCCCTCATCCGGACCTTTGCCGACGTCAAGTCTCGCACAGCCCGTCTCGAATGGAACCCGATCCTTGCAATTGAGCAGCAGTGCCGGTCAACCATTGCAGATCATGGCCGGCCCTTCTGGATTGAGTTCGCACCAAAACGGGGGTCCCTCAGCCAATGGGCTTCAAAACGAGGGGGCTGGAACGCAGGCGGGTAAAGGGGAGGAGGACGATGAAGAGGAGGAGGAGGGGGAGTTGATCATGATGCCAGATACGGACAACGCGCTGGATCCGACGGTGCTGGCGTCGCTGCCGGCGTCGGTGCAGATCGAGCTGATGCAGCAGATGAGGGAGCGGCGAGTCGCGCAGAACCGCGAGAAGTTCAGGTTGGTAGCCTTGCCTGATAGACTCTCCACGGCTTCTGGGTCTGGAGGGTTCCGATTACCCCAATGTCAAAGGTTTTGGCTTGCTAGAGTCCGATGCTTCAAGGTCTCAGGGTGTTCTCCACTTCCTTGCTTCTTGTATCTCGGACATCCCTAGGCAGTCACACAAGCTTTTTGGAATCTCTTGGCCAGTTCGGATGTTGGCTGCATTGTGGTGAGGACAAATTTTCCCGGTCTGGACCCCGTAGGTAGCTGCTCGAATGAAGGATTTCGTTTCAAACTTACAGAAAAGCCGCCCGCAGAGGCGCAAATGCGACGGGTTGGGACAAATGTGCACCGAGTTAGTTTTACGCTTGATTTTATTCCCCAGAAACCAAGGAAGTGCACCCTCAAATGCATCTCAGGTTTCTCACAGGCTTCCACTGTGCCAATCTACATTTTAAAACGGTATCCATGGTTCCGAAAGCTTTTGCGGAGGTCAACGACGCACCTTTTGCGATTGCAGGCAAGTGGCCAAGGTCCCCGAGTCCTTTTCCAGCATCCAAATGGAGGCGTACCTAAAGAACGTGGCGATGCGGCGCGACGTTGCCAAAGTACACGAGGCGATGGCCAAAGGCACCAAGGTCATCCCTGGCATGGAAGACGTTCCGGCCATGCGGATTGCGAGCGAGCAGGGGCGAGAGTTTATTTTCAAGAGCAATCCTGAGAGGGCTGACTCGGAATCTCAGGACGGTTTTAAGGCAGCTTTGGGAGTAAAAGGCTTAGGCCGGGGGTTGGGGGCGAGGAAAGTCCAGAAGCCAGGGGCGTTGAAATGGAGACAGAGCGAGAAGGACAAAGTGGAAAGCTACAAGGAGAAGCCGTCGTGGTTCAAGGCGAGCCCGTATGGGTTGGGTGAGGTTAAGTTGGAATCGGTTAGCGACGGGGTGATTGGCGTGGTCAATGCGGAGACGGTCAGTGATGCCGGTTATGGCGAACTGCAAGTGGTTAAGGAGGAGCTGGAAAGTGCTGGAGGGAGCGGGAAAGTTTTGGTTGCAATTGACCCGGAGCTTGCGGTGCTTGATACGAATTCGCAATGGTCGATGGGGGGGCGTTCGTGGTGGGGGGGGGAGGTCGGGAGGGGGGCGAGAGGGGGGGGGAGAGAGGGACGAGGAAGGGGGGGCAGAGGCGACAATGGCGCCGACAAGTTCCTGGGGGGGTGGATGAAAGTGCTGAAGCTGACCAAGGACGAGGTATTTGGAAGCGACGAGG